GATTACCAAAACCGTTATCCTCATCTTGTCTCACTAATCGTGTCTTGTTTTCTGGACCTTGGGTTCAGATTAGTATCTTTGTCTATCTTTGTTTTTTCGAAGAACTTGGCATGTTATCCTTTACATAGGATTTTTGCAGTTGTTATATAGGCTGGAGTAGCGTCTCCACAAAAGATGATATTTTCTCAGAAGGGCCGTCACAACCTAAGATTGTAGGTCTACCGACCGGTGTAGTTTTATGTATTTTCGAGAGCCTACAGAATATTGGTATTCTAGGTGGATTGGGAGTTTGTGAAAGCCATTTCTTAGTCATGTCATCAAGTCACCCATGTGACAGAAAAAAGAAACTGGCTTTGAGTCTTAGTGCGGGGTAACCTCGCCACTCTTTTCGATCTACTAAATAAAGAATCTTCTTTAAAGGAAAGATTCAGTTGAAATATGATAAGAGCCAAGGCTTCCTCATGTTCAGTAAATGATACAAAGTACTTTTCGATCACGCGACTCCTTTCAAGAGAGAAGCTCGTATGGAAGTTAATTATCAAGGTTGTTATGCTTAGTGCAACATTATTTTTAGAATTATTACTATTATTAGTACTGTTATTTTCATATTCTCTCATTAAATTCCGCTCCAGCTCTGATTTTGTCAGTGAATAATTGACTTACACATTCTGGTCGAAAACTTCCTTACACGTCGAAGCTGAAAAAAAGAAAAAGTATGCCAACAGCAATAAACCCTTCGAGAAAAAAAAAAATTGAAAAAAAAAATTGAAAAAAAAAAAGATGGGATGGCGTCTTGAATGCTCTCAAAGGGAAAATGTACATGTGGAATAACAGATATATAACATTGTAATCCAGGTTTAAGAAAGTAATTGGTCGCTATTAGAGAGAAATAACAGATTAGAATAATTAGTAAAGAAGTAAAGAAGAAAGAAGTAATAATCCTTAAGTACGAAAATACGTACTTAAGTACGAAAGTTATCAACTCCATTTAGTTGTGATGGCTATGAAATTCTCCATGAGCCAGTTTTTTGCACTAGTTTGACTTTGGTGAGCTTTGTGATTGGTGCAGACACTCACTATGCGAAGAGGATCAAAGCAATCGTGACTTGGTGATTTTGTAATTTGCATTGTTACCGGCGTCTAATGCGCTAGATGAAAATCAAAGCAGGGGAAATGCGAACTGAAGCTGCACCCCAAGCCTCGCGCGGCCTCGCCGCTTTTACTCAAGCCGCTAAACGCTTTAAATGCACACATAAAACTGCTATCTACGCAGGCAAGCGTTTTCACGTCCATCAAGAAGTTACCTTGGTGTTATTTTGAATTCTCGGTAATTTCTAAGGAAGCATTTATGGAAGTTCTTATCGACTTACTTTATATCTATTTCTCGATAT